ATTAATTAACACTTTATGCTTTGTTTCTTTAATCCATATAAAAAAATACTAAAAGTTGTGGTTTTACAGGTTTTACATGTGCCAAAATATATCTTGGCTGGGAGCGGTGACGACAAGCCTCCAGGAAGTTGACATGAAATAATAAGCAGACTTTCTTACCTTTGGACAGAGCCAGGCTAGCTGTTTCCCTTTGTTTCTTTATGCTAAGCTAAGCAAACCATCTCCTGGCTTATATTTAATGGACAGACATGAGAGTGGTATCTATCTTCTCATCTAACTCTTGGCAAGGAAGCGAATACACATATTTCCTAAATTGTCAAACTATTCCTTTAAACAAATTGCTGTAACATAACGGGTAGGAACTCAATTGTTTGTGAAAACAGTCGAGACTTGGGACTTGTTCTGGAGTTGCTAAGTATTGAACAGAGTTCTCAGTTTCCAGCTTTGATAACTCTCCAGATAATAACATGGGAGCAACGTGGAATAACATGAGCGCTCTGTGATTGTAGTTTGTGGGAAGGAGGGAAGGAGATGATGGAAAGCCTGAAGCCTGTGGTTAAGAGGGTGATTGACATATTTCAACAATATATGAGATTGCTTGAGAGCTGTTTTTTAGTGAAACATGACAGCTTTGTTGTAACTAAATTTATACTCAGACAGTTTTGGAAACATAGTAATTTTACTCCTGCTCCACGTTTTACATTTCAATTCTTTATTTTCTATTTTCCTCTTTACCACCTGTTGTCCTCAAAGCTGCAGTTTAATTTGCGTCCTCATCGGAGTCCAGCCTTCACTTCACATCTAAAACTATGGGGACCTCTACATACTGTGGTGCTGCCTGCCTTTGCTCCTGTGGTTTTGGAGGCCATTTTGTATTTCATCAGACGATGTGAGCAGTCATCTCTTTAGACGGGCCCTAGGCAGAGACCGGTGGGCACAGAACGGCTGAACCCAATCAACCTATCGATCTCTACTGGGTTACTTGGGTGAGGCTGGCCCGGTGCACATCCTCTGCCCTGGGCGACATTTCCCCTCCCCACCCTCGTCTTACGTCTTACTTTACACCAGTTGCCATGGAGACCACTGGTCCCATTTATCCTTTCTAAGTGCCTCTTTCAGTCAAGCTAGGACTCTCTCTTTTTCGTCTGGATTTGAGATCTCTTTTGCTCTTGCTGTCTGTCTTCCCCTCATATCCTTGCTCTTATTTAAGCTCACACATGTTTTTTATGTACACTTACCAGATATTCAGCTAATTTTGAGTTACTAAGTATATTCAGCAACTCCTTCAAGACACAGGCACCATCCTCTGCGTGTTTTTGACTTGGTGTGGTGGTGGTGGGGGTCTTGTGGTTGTGTGGTCATAGCAGTATGGGGTCCTCCTCCCAGAAAAATGTGATCTTCACTAAAAACTGTTCAAATCATTTTCGACTGTTGTCATTACAATATTTATAAAAACAAAACAAATGTTTTTCACATTACACACAGACAAGCAAGAAAAAAAAAAAAAGCTTGATGTCCTGAAGTAATCCTTCACATTTTGAACACATTTTTTGTGAGTGTGTGCCATAAAAAAAGGTTAATCAAAGAATAAAAAATTTTAACATAAGGCTGATAGTGAAGAGATTTGAACTGTGCTTATTCTCCCTAAGTCAGGATGAAGCCACTAACCAGCTATAGGGTGGGCATCGTTAGGATTGTACCTTTATCATATCCATACTCTTATTAACCCGGATCTTTATCGATCCTCTTATCATTTTTTTCAATACTATAATTTTTTAGTATTTATTTAGTAGAAATTCAGAAGCAGCAGCAATAGTTAAGTTCACTACAGCAAAGTCACTATATGCATATAAAATATTAGTAAAATAAATAACCCATAAGTTACATAGACCTGCTCTGTATAAAATGTGTAATGAGATACCTACTATTATGAATTGGTGTTATATAAATAGAACTGAATTAATATTCCTGACATCAAAATAATTAGTGAAGTTTAAAAAGAATGAAGAACTCAGTCAGTATCCTCTGTCCTCCTCCCTCTGCTGCTGATGTGATTGATGTGATTGTCTCAGCCAGCAGCTTAGTTTACCAGAATTTTCCAAATATCGCTTTTCTAATTTTTTACTCGAGTCATAGTCAACTAGAGTAAAACGTTACCTTCACTTCACCTGGTTCACTGTTTCCACCATGGTGTCTCTGCTTTGCTGTCCACTGTGTGTCTGTGTGAGACCATAAATGACTAGAACTCAGCATAGTGTTTTTTCCTTTTCATTCAGCTAAAGCATTGTGAAAAAACACTTTGGCGCTGCACGTGTTGTAATAGACTCAAAATAGACAGTGATAGACATAACCTATAATTCCTGTATGTGCTTGTGTGTGGTTTCCAAAAAAGATCTCTTAATTTTAGAAAATTAATGGTGACGACCAATTGTAGAGCTTAAACTGTTCAGGCATTTACTGTGTGTGCGTGTGTGTGTGTGTGTGAGTGTGAGATGTATATTATATTCTATATACAGTATAAATATTTTATTTCTTTCATATCGTGGATGTTTCCTCACCTCTCAACTTTGTATTCAATTCTGTGTTCAATCAGTATATGAGATGACAGATGACTTAACCTGCTCTTCCAGTATTCACTGTATGGACAAAGATATGTGGACTCCTGAGCATTACTGCCTTCACTCTTCTGGGAAGAGCTGCAGTGATTGGCTCCCATTCAGCCACAACAGCATCAGCGAGGTCAGGCAAATAGCCTGACTAAAATAGTATTGAGTATGTTTACATGCGCTTAATTAATTAGTTACAGTCAGCTTTCTGCAATAACCTGGTTTCAAAAATTTCATGTATGTATGTATATCATGTATATGTGTATAAGTCTGTAATCAGGGTAAGGGACTGGAGAAGCCTGGTCTTCCAAGCTAGATTTCTCCTGGAGAAAGTCGAATTCTTTGTTATGTACAGCACACACATCACTAGGTTTCTCATTGGCTTTTGACATCGGCATTTCAAAGACCGAAGACAGGGAAATTATTGCTATGACAGCAGGGCTGCTGGAAGAAAGAAAAGATCATCACACACAAAGATGCATCTTTCTTTTGAAAACAATCCCATCTGAATTTCGACTAACACAAAGTAGCCTCTGTAATTGTATAATAATAAGTTGGGTTTCGACCACTTGGTGCAGTAAGAATCCAGACAGAGCCCGTGTCCTCCAACTCATAGACACAAGAAATTCAAATAATTTAGGAAACTTTTTATTGTGTGTTGTGGCCGTAAGATTTGTATTAATAATTTTTGCCATATAGTATAATTGCTGGCATAAGGGTGAAGTACAGTCTCACTCACTATTAATTAGTGACAAATTGAAATGTGAGTGACAAATTACCTTCATGTGGGAATGCTTTTAGACATTTACTGACTGATAACACAGTGCTTTACTTTTCTCCAGGGCTGGGCACATTAATGCATTATTATCGCGTTAATGCATTAATTAATTAACGCCGACAATTATCGCACGTTAATGCAGTTTTTATTATTATTATTTTAAAAGTCCTTTGCTCACTGGCTCTGAATACACATACAGTCAAACCATGGGTCACAGGAGGGATGGGATGTTGATCAGCCTGCAGGATCACCCACCCAAACAAGCAACGGAGGGAGGCTTCGGCAGACTATGTTGGCTGCAGCGTGTGGGAGAAGTAGATAAACAGAAGCATGACAAGCGATCAAATGTCATAGCGAAGTGGATAGCTACGAACTCCATGCTGATTAGTATTGGGGAAAAATCACAATGTAGTCGGTTGGCCCCGCGGGATTGCTCCGAGCTCCTCAGGTGAACAGGAGACAAGCGTTCCGTGAGTAAACTGCAGGCGATCTATGGATAGTAACTATGACAACGACTTTTGTGCACTACACAGCTGTGGCCTATTTAACGTAAGTTAAAATTAAAGGCTACATAACTTTTCCTGATAGGCCTATGTCTAGTTTTGCGGTGATGCTCTGCCATGCAAATTCCCTCCTGTTGATGTCCTGATAATAGATTCTAGAAACTCACAAACATCGAAGATCAGTCTCTCTGCCAATGATTTGTGCTGCGCGTCGCGTAAAAAAAGTTCAAGACAATTCAACATTTTCCAGCGGGCGTGCGTGTGTGTGACGGGAACGCGCCTGATTGTCACTGTGCCTTGTGCTCAACCACTTCACCTCACTCTAACAGAGACACTTGGTACTGAACACAGACTGTTTATGCTGCTCCCTGATAAAAGAAAAATGTTTCTGCTGATACAATAACGATTTACATATGTTAACCTGTTGCTCGGAAGGTGCCTGTTATGATTGTGGCTCTGGACTAACTTGTTTTAACAAGCTAGATAAAAGATACTGTGTAAAGGGAATACTGCTGGTTAAAAATCACATTATTTGTTTAAATTGTTTGCAAACCACATGTTATTGCACTTTTGTGTATATAGCTGTACATTTAAATTAAACGCGCACAATACACTACTTTAGAATTCATTATTCAATTTGCGCATAACTATGTGATTAATTGCAGAAAATCATGCCCAGCACTAGTTTTTTCATTTTCTCACTTTCACATTGACGGAGCCCTTGATGCAAGTTCTGATGGAACAAGAGTGTTAAACAGAATAAAAGAAAAATGTACATGTGTTCTATCTATCATCTATGAAGTCTTGTCACCATTTCCTTTAGTCAAATATAAAAATAATATCCTGATAAAATATCGTGCTTTAACACTTTATAGATTTTAGAGGTGCCAGGTGAGGCAGACTGATATACAGTACTTGCCCAGTTGGCCCCTCTCCCCTATCAATTTCACCAAATCTATTGCAATCACACATAGGCATACACACTCAGCAACCCCCCAAAGTCTCTCCAAATATTGCACCCCCCTGTTATTCTGCTGTTTAATTGCTCTCTCAAATCAAATCAATAACAGTGAGGCATGTGTTGGGGTGGGGGCAAAAAATCAATTGTTGCAGCTTCACGGCCGAGTCAGAACGGGAGAAGGAAGAGTGGATTGAAGCAGTCCAAGAATCGATCGCTGAGACACTCTCCGACTATGAAGTGGCAGAGAAGATCTGGTTCAACAAGGCCAACAGGAGCTGTGCCGACTGCCGTGCCCCACAGCCGGAGTGGGCATCTGTGAATCTGGGCGTGGTCGTCTGTAAGAAGTGTGCAGGTAAGGGACACACATATGCTGCTTTACTCCTGGCATCCCTCGGCTCTCTGATGCAGACACACGCGCTGCATGCATTCTGATACCCCCCCCACACACAGAATTATGTGAATGAAAGCAAGAAGCATGTCAAAACATGTTTTTTTCAAAGATCCTAAAGTGATGGTTCCCTATCAGCGAGTAGGAATCCCAAGTTGCACAGTGACTAACAAAGCTGTAAAACAATAAGAAAAAAATGCAACACTTTATTTTATATCTCTGTAATTTATTATTGTAATTGTTGTTGTAATTATTTCTTGGAACGTTTCCTGGAAAAAACAATGTAATTTTGTACTAATTAAAGGAAAAATAGGAAAAATAGGGACAAAGTACTGAGACTGTAATTTTGGGTAGGATTTATTTATTTGCGTTAGGTTTGCATAGGCATGCAGTTTTTGGTTTCCAAGGGAATTGAAACCCAAGTAAATAATCATTCATTATTTAAAACTTCTTAACCTTATTCTTATTCTGCATGTTTTATTGGGGTTGCTTGTAAAAAAAAAAAAATAAAAAATCCACATTCAGCTGACCTGCTGAACTGACTAGACTTTAGATTATGCTAGAAGCTTTTAAGTTGCAATTAATTATTGTTTAATTTAAGTGTGCTAATTGAACCATATGTCTATACAGTACTATTTACTCTTAATTAATCACAAGAAATTATTAAGAAATTACAGAGCCATAAAGTACTGTGTTGGCAAGTGAATGTGGAAGCACCTCCCCGCCCTTCCACGTGCCTGCGTGGAAAGCCTGAGGCAGAGAGCAGCAGTAAAGACCCCCTGGTACAGAACAGGCATTAATACCAACTACGTGAATAATCCATACGGCCTGAAAGGTGGAGCTGGGGTGGCGGTGGGTTATGAGCTGCTTGCAGAGGGCAGCCAGGCTGTAGCAGCTTAAATAAGGCGCTTTGTATGGAATTAGCCAATGAATGCCAAGAGAGAGGAATCAGCTGAGCTGTCACCTGATGTGGCTGGCTTTAAGAAGACTGCTATCAGCTGATGTGCTGGGATTGTGAGCTGAGCTTGACTTGCCTGCCTGAATTTACGCTATGCTATGCTTTTAAAAAAACTTATCTCCACTCTATGCATCTTTCTTTGGATAGTTTTACTACTCCTTATTTTAAAATTAAATGATTAGCACAGGGAAAATCATTCTTTACTTGAACTGCTCACAACTCACAGACATACTATGTGTGCAGCCTGTGACAGGGGATCAGAAGTAAGAACTGCCTGGCTATGAAGGGTCATAAGCCAAAGAGGTTTGGGAACCAGTTATGAAGACAAACACACATCTTGGATATACTAATCAATTTTGTTTACTCCTCTCTTTCATAGCAAAACCTTTATAGAGAGAACCAAAAAGAAAGAGTATGCAGCATATGAAACATTTTGAAGAAGAGTCAAGATATGCTAAAGTAAAAAAAAAAAGAAAAAGCTTGTTAGCACTTAATTCTTAATCTTTATGTGTGGCCTGGTGTTTGTTTGTGTCTGTGTGAGTATGTACTCTGACCCAGAGGCGCCTTTGGAATGAGTTCCCAGGTGATAAGCCACTTATGGGAGTTGGCGTCTGGCCTCAGGACTCTCTAATCTATTTGGCAATGCTGGATGGCTCAGATGAAATGACAACAAAGATTAAGCCACAGGCGAGAACTTGGGGGATCCCAAACTGCTTCTTGACCCGGTAAACATGATTAGTGAGAAGCAGCACGCTTAATGCAGAGGGATATCTGGTTGGTGTGTAGTTTCATTTTTCGCGCTCCTGTACCCCCCCCCCCACACACACACACACAAAAAAAAAAAGAGATCTTCTCCAGGCCTGAGATTTCTCCTAGAATTATAAGTTTTAATGTGATTCTTCACCTCGCCCCCACAGAGCCCATGTAATTGGTATGCATCAGATATCCCACATCCCTTTTCAAACACCCTTAAATGATTTCATTTGCAGGAGTGTTTAATATTACATTTTGTCGACACACTGGGAGAGAGAGCTGGTGAATATCTGCAATGAGGAAGATGTCCTCACACAGTGCTCTTCTTAAATTAGGTGGTGGTCCATTTGGAATACCAATGGCTGCTCACACTTTTAATTAGTGCTCTCATGTCATGGACAATAAAGAGAAATGCTGAACAAGAGAAAGAGGGGAAAAAAGTAATGAGAAGGCTATTGGTGAAAATGATCCAACATTGCCTTTCCTCTTTTTGTGCCAAGAGAGAATGAATTTGAATACTCTGTAGTTTCACTGTTTGATGTGAAGCTACAGACTATTCATATTTTGCCGACTGGAACAATTATTATTTCCCGTTTTATGAAAGAAGATGAAAACAGGTGAATCTGATCAAAAACACTATCATACAAAAACCTGGGTGAAAATATATACACTGAACAAAATTATAAACGCAACACTTTGTTTTTGCCCCCATTCATCATGAGCTGAACTCAAAGATCTAAGACTTTCTCTATGTGCACAAAAGGCCTATTTCTCCCTTTTGCCTCAGGCAGTGCAACACATCTCCTTCGTATAGAGTTGATCATGTTGTTGATTGTGGCCTGTAGAATGTTGGTCCACTCCTCTTCAATGGCTGTGTGAAGTTGCAGTCAGGTCAAGACCCCGATGAGGATGACGAGCATGCAGATGAGCTTCCCTGAGACGGTTCATGACAGTTTGTGCAGAAACCGATTGTTGCAGCAGATGTCCGGGTGGCTGGTCTCAGACGATCTTGGAGGTGAAGATGCTGGATATAGAGGTCCTGGGCTGGTGTGGTTACACGTGGTCTGCGGTTGTGAGGCCGGTCAGCATCTTGATTTGCCACACCTGTGAGGTGGATGGATTATTAGGAGAAGTGCTCACTTTTTGTGCTCAAGTTTTCATCATATGAAACATATTCTGAGTTGTCCTTGTGACAAGAAGACCTTGCTCAAACTGCAATAAATGAAAAACTGTATGACATCATACCGAGCCACTAGTAGAAAAAACCTGAGTGTTCAGAACAGGGGGAACTCTCAGGTTCTGGTTTACAGGGAATTATTTTAAATTCTTTTTCATCATTATTTGAAACTTTTGCCATGTTAACATGAACATCTGGCCTTGTAACATTATAGATATGCCAGAAAATATGGAAAAGTATAATAGATCCCCTTTAATAATAATAAAAAATATTGGGTAGTGCAGTTTTAATGATTCATTCCTACTCCTGTTGGTTTCTCTTTAATGTGTTAATCCAAGACATAAGACCTTGTCCCAACACCTGAACTGGTGAAATCCACATTCCTCGGTAACTTTACCTCCCCAATAACTGAAGGTGTCTCTCTTCCTACACTGTTCCTTTTGTTCCCACTTTTCCCTTCCTCCCACTGTGCAACGCATCCAACCAAAGAAAATGACATTGCTCCAAAGACCGGGAGGCCCCCTCTCCACACATGTAATTGCAACAAGCTCCCTTAAACCAGGATGCAACTTGTGGACACGTCTGCTTGCAACAGTTGCCATGGTAACCCACACATGCAGTGCTCATTGCTTTGCTTTGTTTCCTTCTGACCCGTCGTTGAGTGAGAGTGAGGTGAAAATGGCACACAAGTACAGTGTGTTGGAGAAAGTGGTCCATGAGCTGGGAAAGTTTTTAATTGGAGCCTGAAATTCTTGGCGGGTTGGGCAATTTTTGTGTGAAAGCTGCTGGGATGGGAATGCCCTTTTATTGTGTTGTTTTGGTTCCAACGGAAAGATGAAGACACTTTCAACAGGCAATTTATATGGGAAGTTCACACCATGAAACTGGCATGCATGCATGCACACTTCTTCAGCTTCATTACCCTTACACAAGTGAAAATGGTCCTGTGGTGCTATATGTCTTAGTAAGACAGCGAGGTTACTTTTGCCCAAACCAGATTTAAACGCAAGTCTGAAAAGACTAATGCATCCATACTTTTCCCACAAAAGTAACTTTGGGTAAGAAGGAAACCCCTAAAAGTAATCCCAGAGCTCAGCTAACATGGTATCAATGAGAACAGACCAGCATGGACAGAAGCAATATATAACAAGATTTTTTTTTTAATTAACCAACTATTGAATCAGTTTCAACCAGCAGACTCAATTGCTCCTAGATCTTTGTTAAAATGTGGAGTGTGCTAAATTATTTTATTAGAAAATTAGGAACAACATTCTGGGTGACACTAATATATCGTGCTTCTCTCCCTAATCAAACGTAATGTTTTCAAACTAGATAATTCAGAAAGTTCCAATTTCAACCATTTCAACCGTCCTTAAGGAGGTTGTACATCAGATGTTGCTCATGCTCCAACTGCAGTAGTAAAAGTCAAACAACCTCAGAAAAAGTGCTGATGTAAGTGATGCCTCCTCAATTTATATTTCGAAACAACTGATAGCACAATGCTATAGTGCCTTTGATGAAAAATAACACTACAAGGTGCTTTACATTGTGCTAAAAATCAAACATAGGGGTGCGTTTAGCTCACTTGGTAGAGCTTGCTCCCCATGAACAAGGCTAACCCCTCATTTCAGTGGCCCAGGTTTGGAGTCCACCCTGTGGTCTTTTGCTGGGTGTTGCCCCCCCGCCTCTCCTCCATTTCCAGACACTATCCCGTCTCTTTAAAAAAAGGCACTAAAAACAATGCATACAAATGAGGGTTCAGTACTTGGTCCAATCTTTTTTTCATTATACATGCTTACATTCAGCTAAATTATGCGACCATACAGTCCACATTTGTATAGCTGTGCCGACAGCACACACCTGTACATATTGCTAGCTCCCAATAATCCCAATAGTTTAACATACTGCCTTCAAAATATTCCAGTTTGGATATGCAACAACATTTGAAATTAAATTATTACATAAGTTATTGGTGCTGATTACATTTATGTGGGTTCAGAACTGGGAAAGCTGGGACTGTTAATATGTTCACCATTTGATCACATCAAGCCTGACCACAATAGGATGTGGCCTGGCATATCACACTCAAAATCCAGTCTGGGAGAAATTAGACCCATCAGTTAATTGGTCCTAGTGTCAGATTTAAAAGGCAATACAGCTAAGGATGAAGAGCTCACAGCTTTAACATTAAATCTGTCCATGTTTTTACACAAATTATTTGCGATGTGTAACACTGGGAGAAAATAATATATATAAATATAAGACTCCATTGTTATGGTTTGTTCTGCTCAGTATAGACATTACACCAGCATTCTTAATAAATTAGGTAGAGTAAAGAATGAACACTAGTTATCAGAAATTATTTGCTTCTTTTGATATCTTAATAGACAAATAATTTAAGGATTCTGTGCTCTCTAGATCTGTGTCAAGACGGCCTTTCCACAGCTAATAGCCCCACATTTTTATTCACAGTTGCTCTACTTGAGCATAGAAGACAGTAATGAGATCATGCCAAATCTAAAATTATCCGTCTTTACACACAGGACAATAATTCACATTCTCACATACAGCGTGTTTCTGCCAGATGTATTATGCATGTATGCTCTGTCTTTGGCCACAAGCAACCCCAGAAGCCTCTCATTCACCCAAATAAACAGGCCGACCCACAAACAAAATGAATTACTCATGATTCATTAGCAATTAATGGCCCTCGTTCTGTGCTTTCATTTCCAATTAGGAGTGCTGAGGGGACTAAATATGTCTGTTGTGAGTGAGAGAATGAGCTTCCAGTCATGCTCTGTTTCTCCATCTTGTAACTGCCTGTTTATTGTTTATTCCATCACTGAAATGTGTTTAGGTGCACACTATGGAGATTTCTGCGCATATATCTTAATTTTTTTTTTTTTTTTTTTCAGGGACTAAAAGCGTGGTTTGACAGCTGTGCATTTTTGATATATAATTGAGAAATGTTTCATAAACCCAAGGGTTGTACGAATTTCTGAGTGTACGTCTGTTTGTGTATTTGTGAAGTCATACTGATGACTGTGTCTTCCTGTGTACCAGGGCAGCACCGTTCTCTTGGCCCAAGCATTTCAAAAGTGCGGAGCTTGAAGTTGGACAGCAGTATCTGGAGCAATGCGCTAGTGGAGGTACTGTATGCTGTTTTCCTTATGAGTTTGAACAACAATAAATTCTAACTGCTTATGACATTTTTTTCCACTATATATAATCCAAAGCAGTGTCAAAGGGGTTAAACATGAGTCCTATTTGATCACTTATGCCTTTTTCAACATTGTTTCAACTGGATTTGTAGTAGTCTTAAAATTAACTTTAGCTTTTGCTTGCCTTCTAAGGGCTTATAAACTAAAGTAAAATACCAAGTGAAGACCTGATAAGTAAAGTATCCAACCTGGAAAAAAAATCCCATCTGGTCCCTTCAGGCCTCCCTTCACATTTTCATGCGGAATAAGCACTGGCAGAGTGTGCGCATGTAGACAGGTAAGCAGGCCAGCCAGTCATTTCATTCAGACCGAAATGATTGGCCGTGCTTATTACAGTCCAGCGACAGGCACAGATACGGGATTTCTTTTCATTTTTGTAATAGAGCATTTGGTTTATTTCTTGCTGTCGGGATGCAAAGAGAAAAAAAATCAACAAATATAAGAAAAAGTGCTTCTGAAATAAATTGCCTACCCCAGCTTTAACTTTTTCTATGCTGCATTTTTATTTTGTTTAATTTTATTCCTTCATTTGACTGTGACAGTGCAATATATAATACATATATTGCCCCAGAGAAATCTTAAAGGTAATCCTCAACTGTGCATATATGCATGTACAAATATATGTCGTCAGGTATGTCGTCATCAGCTAATTTTTACAGGGTGAAAAAAAAACTAACTAACTGTACTGCTGTTGTAATCATTTGCTTACTCTTACCCAATGGATGGAGTTTATGTACACTGAAGTTGGTTTGATAGACCTTCATCTGAAAAAATAATCAACAAGTATGCTTGCCAAGAGGAAATATACGCCAGTTTGGGGTTGGGCAAATGTAAATTTCAAATCCTAGTAATGGTTCTATCAGTAATTCTCATCTGCGTTTGTCTCCCTCTCCATGTTCCTTATCACATCAGCTCTTCTTGGAGGTGGGGAACAAGAATGCCAACAGTTTTTGGGCTGCTAATCTTCCCTTGGAGGAAGAGCTCTACAGTGGGGCTTCAGCAGAGCAGCGCGCCACTTTCATCCGCAGGAAGTACAGGGAAAGGAAGTACCGGAGGATCCTGGAGGGCTTTCATAACCGGGAGCAGCTCAACCAGGTGCGACTTTCATGTAGACACACAAAATTTATTTTATAGAGAACCTGTTGTTTTGAGATATTCAGCCAGTATTGTTTTTTTTATTCATACATTAACAATTAGGAGTTGTGTCTTCTTACTGGCCATTGAGTATCACGTCTTGACACAAGTACTTGTCTAAGGAGGAGAAAATACACTGCCTTGGATTATACGCTGACTTTATGCTCTTTTCCAACCATATGCCAAACTTGTTTGCTTGTTAACTACACTGGTATGCACCTGTACGTGTCTTGACTACTTTTCTCTGTAAACACGCAGAGTAGATGTTGTGCAGTACAGTAGATCTACCACTTGGCAACTCTCTCATTGCCTTGTCAAGTTATCCTCAATATTAAATTTAGGGTTAGTTTTTCAGTAACTGTGTGTCACAAAGTGCTGCCTCATACACACTGATTATATTAGTAAAACTCTGATCTGATATTCTTCAGCTGCACGCTCACTTAGGTTCTCAAACTTTTTCACATCAAGGAACCCTAAACTGACACAAATTAGACCATGGACCCCCCATTTGATAAGATTTTGCCCCATCCGATAGGATGTTACAGAAAGTGTGTGAAACGCATGACCCCAGAATTCATTCATTCTGTCATTGTGTTACTTATGGATGGAATTATAACAAAAAATGGGGACCCAACTGTGAGAATCACTGACATTGAATTCTAGAGACAGTGATTTTTGTCAGAGTTAGCATTGTTATGTTCTGTTAGCTGCGTTAGCTAGCATAAAATTAGCTAGCAACGAACAACTAGCATATCTTTTAGATGAACTATATCCTGCCAGCAGCATAGTGTGAACAAGTAACACATCAAGAAGTAAATCTAGTTTTGACTTTGAATTTGTTTTTCTATTTGTGATTACCTGTTTTTCTGTAAAGGTTGCAGCCATTCAGTGATAAGTGGACAACTACAATAGCTGCATCTGTAATTCTGTTAAACATGGTACATAGCATACTTCATTGGCCAAATCCACTGAACCTGAAAGAGCCCATATATTCCTGACCTTTTGACCATCCGTAAGACAGCACTATAAGTAAAAATGCCTAAGGGGGAAGTCTTATCGATCTCAGGTGTAAGCAGGTTGGTTCTAAGGCCTTCTCTGCCAGTATGTGGTTCATGGTTTATTGCTCTGACAAAAAAAGCTCCTGTTTTTTGGCTTCCTCTTAAAGAGAAGGCCTTAAAGCACCATGCACTGAGCCTCCAAACAGCTAAGTTTCCACCTGCATCAGCATTTACGCAGATCAGCCTCCTTGTATTGTTTTCTCGTGGAGAAAAGAGAGGGATGGATATGTAGAGAGAACGACGGAATGAGGGGGGAAGTAAGGAAGAGGTATACTCGCCAGCTAAGTGGAAAAGTGGATTAGGATTCGCAACAGAAACGCTTGGGCTGGTTTTATTGCGGCTTTACTGGCTTGTGTGTGTGTCTGTGTGGGAGTGTGTGGTGTGTATGCGTGTGAACATGTGTGCTGCTCCACAAAGGATGTGTGAATTTGCTGTTAGAGTTTTTTGCAGAGCGGTGTAGAAGAGGAAGTGTGACAGACACAGAGAGTGTGCCAGCCTAAAAGGGCTAGACCAGTGGAGAAGTACGTGTGTGCACCAGAGAAAGAAAAAGAGAGGAAAAAAGGTAGAAGTGGGTGGTTGTGTTTGCTTTCTCTTGATCTGGTCTGCCTTTATAAGTGGACTCAACAGATATGATAGGGATCAATGTGTCATAGAGCCATTATACACACTGTGATTGAACGTGTGGGTGTGTCAGAGATGGGGACCTGAGTTTGAGACTCGGACGCGAGTCTGACTTAAATTGCAGCACACACAGTGACTTAAGACTTCACTTGAGACTCATCCTCAAAAGACTTCAGACTTGACTCGGACTCGTGAACAGTGTTTATTTTTCCCCTCCCTGCGTTACCTTTACCCTACCTACCTAACATGTACTATGTATCTGATGCGCGCGGCCACACCAGAGGAAGGATAAACACCTTCAGCTACTGTGCCATTCATCACAAACTTTGGTTTTAAAATTTCATACAAGGCCCAAAGAAAGAAGCGCTGAACGCAAAATAGGTTAGTAACCTCAAGTGAGTAAACATGTTTAGCTCAGCATTGGCCATCTAACGTTGGCTTGTTTCTTGCTTTAGCTACGACCTACGAGACGTTAACTCTGACTGTCGTTCCTAATGAAAAGATGAATGAGCGTTTGTTAGATTGCCAAACTTGTGGTGGTCGATTAACGTAACCATTTACATCCCGCTGGCTGCCATCAGCGTTAATTATTAACGTCGGCTGCAAACAGGTTACAAGTTTATTGTGTTGATCATGTAATGTTACAGTTTTATTTAGTTATAATGTTAAACTGGTTTGAAAGTCTGTGTTAACTTACAGTAGTTTATAAGCTGTCATTAGTTGTAGATGCATTGTACATTAGGCTACATGGTTGTGCTGTGTGAAAAACAGGTTACAGGTTTATTGTTGGTCATGTTAACATTACAGTTTTATTTAGTTAACGTTACACTGGTTTGAGAGTCTGCGATTGGTGTTGGTGGTGTTTATAAGCTGCATTGCACATTACATTGTTGTGCTCTGTAAGTCAAAAACAGGTTACAGTTATCCCTTATAGCTATGCAGTGTTCTAAGCAGCCTGGCCTGAACGCAGCAGGTGATACAACATTCATTATAACCACGAGTGACTTGAGACTTGACTTGAACTCTAGCTTAAAGACTTGTGAGCATATCTGGTATGTCTGTTTAAATAATAAAAACTCTTTAAAACAATTCCACTGTTATCTCAACATAAAGTCATAAATCACAAGTAACCTATAAAAAATAACCAAAAAATGTATTTTTAACATAAACAAGGACACTGAGTCTAATCTCATTGGACACGTCGTTCCACTTCTATGTCACACTTACTTACTGTAACACAAGTATGAATACGAAAAAATAAAAGCTATATAAAATCCAATCCTTTGGGAGTCTTCTCTGGGACAAAGACAATAATACTAGTAATTTCCTCATTGACATTCATGCAGTTATGAAATCATGCAGTGGCATTTAAGCAAGTTTTATGGGCCCAGGGGTCATGAAACTCACTCAGCACATGCAGTAAATTACCGTTTAAAGTGTTGATTAATGTAATAAAATAAAAATTAAAAGGTACTGAAGTGATTTACACCTGACGGCATCAATATGTCTCTTACATAACCCCAACAGCGCATGCTTATTCTGTTAGGATGTTTCTGTTCTGCGTCCGTCCCCCTCATTTTCTGCCCTCTGTCTAACCCGCTCTCTGTGTTCCTTAGTCCCATGTTCCCCATTAAAAGCTCATATCCCAGTGACCTCCACAGAGTCTCCGCAGGCCACATGACCTAGAGAGAGAGAGTTAGGGGAGGGTGTCAAAGGCCCTTCTTATATCATTACACACACACTCACACACGCCGACACACACAAACCCTCTAGTGGCTGCAGTAATTGCTATGACACAAAGGTCATTTCCAGAGACGATACAGAATAAGGCCAGGTTGCATGGGACTATTTTGCCGTAATCTGACCCTGTCTTGTGTGTGAATGTGTGTGACACATGTGGTGTGTGACTAAAACTAATCATATCTTTATATATTGTTGTATATGTTTTCTGGGTTTTTTGTTGTTGCAGAAACTGTGTACATAGAAATAAATGAACGCCAGTGTCTGGAACACACACATACTTAAATATCTTTATCTCAGTGCAGGTCCTTTGTGTGGGCGGGCAGGTTATATTGACAGGTGCTTTGTTTGTGTGTGTACTTTGCCTGTGTATATGCGCAGCCTCACCGTGCCTCACTTTCAGACGGATCTTGCTTGTTTGTGGCAGATCGATGCAGCTTACTGACTCGGCCCAAGTCCGATGAAACGAGAGGTTGCTCGTTGAAATTCCGCTATTTGCCACTCGACTCCTCTGTTGATCCACTTTGTTGCGGGTCATCGTGCACAATGTCACATCAATTGACTGGACTGATAGGAAGAGACAGACAGAGAGGGAAAATATTATCCTCACTCAGACTGTATTCTTCTGACTCTTTTCTCTTGCTTCTCGTAGCTGGCTCTTTTTTTGAAGCAGGTGAATAGTTTTAACAAAGTGTGTCTGCATGGCTAGACATTACATATATAAGTGTAATTCTTGTCTCATATTAAAGAAGGAATTGAACATCATGTATTCATAGTTTGTTTTACAGGCCCTGGGATGAAGTACCAACCTCCACGGGCAAATGCTGAGGCAAGTGCAGAGGTGCTTTAAGCAGCAGTTCTTCTAATGGCTGCTGCTGACAAAGAGAGTTCAGTCTTCAGGGTAAAGCACTTTTGTAAAGAGACAGAAAATAAAGGAATATAAGAAGAAAATAAATATCTCAAGACGTCAGGGCCTTAATTGAGTATCTCTCTTCTTTTATCTCTTGGAGACAGTTTAACCAAATAATCTTCCATTAAGGAGATATTAAACTTTATGTATTAGAGATGTCTTTGATTGACATGTGTGTCAGCCTATCACAGCAAGCTGTGGTGGTTGCGGTTTGATCAATGAACTCTGCCAGGCTTTCCCCTTTTTTCATCATTCTTTTTTTAATCAAGCTTGGATGAATGAGTGCCCTTGAACTGAAAATACATTATAACAATGCTTTTAATTTAGTTTAATTGGAATTGAGTAGAAGGGATGCTTTCCGTTAGCTTAGCTTTGTTTGTGCATTTTTGGTCATACCGTATGATTATGGATTTCTTAGATTTCAATACATATTTTAAACCTGGAGGTTTAAGACAAAAATGTTTTGAGACTAACTAAACAAAGTAAGTACACAAACCAGTATGTGTTCTTATACAAAGTACATAATTGTATATTTTATACTACACGCCCTTCTTAACATGTTTTAACATTTTCATATTGTAAAGTTCTTGCATACTCTTGGATATATTCACTCCATGTGTTTTTGTTTTCCTCAGTATGCGCTGTTGTTGTTTTCTCAGTTTATTGTTATTCATCCCTTTTCCCACATTTCTCTTCTTCAAAATTGTTAGTTTCATTATATTTAATATAGCCCATTTGTCCTGTTCTTATTTGCAATATTCCTTTTTTCACAGGGATTAGAGATTTAATGATTCCCACGGGGAGTATTAAAGTATGATCTTATTTTAACTTCTCTTTTGAACTCAGCCGGCGGAACTCAATTCTAAACTTTATATGGTTTTCTGATGCCACTTTATAGACTCTCTGTCCTCTATCAACCTGCCATGCATACACAGACACACAGAGCGACATCAAGCTTCTCCTCCTACACAAGAAGTGAGACCACACTCTCTTTTCCAGGGATTTTCGCTGGTTCATTGTCTGGGATGTGAAAATTTTAAAGGTATTAATCCAGTTATAGAAAGCTACTTAGAAATGCAATGAGCCGCAGCTGCAGTTACTCAGTCTTTTATTACATCAGGAAATGTTAAGTGACAAGTGGACTTGAAGATTTGTGATCCCTAAAAATAAGCCCTTAGAATCCAAGTCACAAACATGTCGAAATTACAGACACAGTTTTATCCTACACAGAATACATTATTAAAGAATTTTATAAATGGTGCTGAGGCCTCATGAGAACCATATCGAGTGAAAGCACAGTACAGAGAAACTCTTCATGGGCTCTTTTATGTGTGTACAGGCACTGTGTGCAGCTGTGGTGTTGCCTGACTTGCTGCAGACTATGGCGCTGGTGTTCAGTGGGGCAGATGTTATGTGCGCCACCAGGGATCCAACCTTCTCCACCCCGTATCTCTTGGCCCAACGTGCTGGACAAAGGCTACAAATGGAGTTCCTGCACCAGAACAAACTTTCCGGTAAGCAACAATGAGTGCTGTTTACTGTTGCTATGCCTGTCAGGGTTTCCCTTCCTGCATGGCACTATCATTTGGCAGATTTACCACTGAAACAGTTGTTCTCTGATTACATACAAAAGTCAACCGAAGCAGTTATTTCATTCCGAGCTGATGACTGACAGTTTAGTTACCTGAAATGACTTTTTTCTACCAGATTTTATCAGCTGTAGCTAGCTAGCTTATTTATGCTAACTCTGAGTTGGCTTTTTAATGTTTCCAGTGGACTCACATTAATATAAAAATTCAGCAAGGCAAGTTTATTTGTATAGCACATTTTAACAACAAGGTAATTCAAAGTGCTTTACATAAAACATAACATTTTTTTACACTTAAGGACTCTAACAGCGGGCCCTGTCAACAAGTTAACAGGGAAAAACAGGGACTCTAATCCTTGTAATTCTACTCGGCCCTGTTAACTGAGGATCAGCCGTGTGAGATGGTAGAATCAAAAGAGCACTCTAAGTTTTTTAAATGGTGTTCACTGAAAATCTAAAAACAAAGAAAAAGAAAACAGGAGACTAAAAGTTACAGTGCAGTGTAAGTTATCAATCTACTAGTTAAAGGCAGTGGTAAAAAGAAAAGTATGCACTTGATGGCTACAGAAATTATATAAAAGATTGAGGCTAAAGCTAGCAGGTCCTGGGCAAAAAGTTACTTGTTACTTGTAAGACAAACTCAGAGTAGCAAAACAGAGGTTTGCTATTGTTTGTGTACATTTACTCAAACCAGATAAAGAGCAGGACTGAGCAGCTAAAATTGCCTTAAACTCTGATATAGTGCCATTTGGTTTCTACACAGTAAATGTGTCAGTCCTGTATTGGGCTTTAATGTAGTTAGCAAGCAATATTCTCCTTTAATGCTCATTTACTATTGTTGGTAGTGAGCTAGTTAGCCGGGCATGCTAATGTTAGCGGTTTTCGTTTACAGACAAATGCTGCTTGATCAGCTTCTTACGGTTTGGCACTTGTTGTTTACGGTTGGAAAATATATTTGAAAAGATGCCACTCTACCTCTTCATGTTTTGTCCACCTGAGTAATTCTCACAATTACTGCACCTACGATTTAATTCAGTAACAAAGTGAAAAGAGTTCCAGCTTGAATACAGGGAACTTTCCCCTGGTCAGTGTTCAACCCAGGTGAGGTGTTGGGCCACAGAAATTAGCTATGAAACAGAATACCTTATTTATTCTTCTCTTGTCAGACCTAAAAAAAAAATAAAAAAAACCCAAGAGATGCTGACACGCTGGCATAAATCTGTGAAACAGCCTTTAAACTAGGTGTGCAAGTTGGACCTTTACAACCGTAGCTGCCACATATATTCATCCCATTGTCTTTGTACTTTAACAAGCAAATCATGTTTAAAACCCGTGCTCACCGCTGTGCTGCCATGTTTATAAAAGCACAGTGTGAGTTTTTTTTTTTTTTTACTGCCATGAATAGTAAATGAAGGCAGAAAGCCAGAGTTTTAAGTTAAACTCTCTCTCCTTCTTCCCCCAACTCTCCTTTGTATTACCCACCTCATGTTCCTGGCGTTGGAGGCACACCACAGATGTGCTGTGTTCTGCAGCTTCCTCATGACGGGTGTGTTTTGTTTGTGTGGTTCCACACAGGGCTGATGATAAGAATGTATTAGATTAAAGGAGCGAGAGAGGCCGTTGGCTGGGGCCACGGAAAGACTTTCTCTGGGACTTTATTTTACATAATGTATGCGCTGCATCTGTGCACAATTGCCGGCACCGAGCCTGTTAGGGACTCCTAATTGCTAGCATGGGTCACCTGGTCGTCATGGTGATGGCCATTACTTGGAGGTGAGGTGTGCTTGAAGACACACATCAAGACTGACAGACACACACACAGACATTCACACGTGTTGAATTGTCCATCTGAAATGTGTAGCATGCAGGCAGTTTATATATGCTCATTATGTGTCTGGAAGTTGTAGGGCTTCATCATTAACAAACAGACAAATGTTGAGCCAACCAGACTCTAGGCCAACTACTGCAGGCAACAAGGACCTAGGTCGGGGAGGTTACCAAGAACCCAAGTGCCATTCTGACAGGTTTACTGTTCCTTGGCTGCAAAAGAGATCTTGCCTCAGGGACAACAATCAGTCCAGTGGTTGGCAAGTTGGGACTATACGTCAGAGTGGCCACAAGGAAGCTACTTCTGATCAGATCCTTAAATACCAGCTCCATATCCCAAGGAACTACCTTCATATCTTACAATTGTGCGTTTGTTTTTTTTTACAAATACACAATCTTTCCATAACATTAACCGAGAGTTTAAGCAGCCCAGGATTAACCAAACCTTAGCCAGTATGTATTTGCTATAACCACTTACTTTCTTAACCTTAAATGCAACTTATCCAACCTCTACATGCCGTGCATGGATATTGTAGAAACAAATGTTTTAAAACATGTTGGCATTGAATATAATCTGGGGTTAGGCTCAATCATCAAACACAGCATCAATGTTATGTCTGCCTATACAGCTTTGAGTCTACACTCAAGGTTTATTATTCTGGTGACATATCCCAAGAAAAGCAACAATAAATTGATCCTTCCAAGTAGGGTTGGGTCGATAGATGATGCCATTGTCCATCGGCGATGGCTGACAGTTTTCACAATGGTGAGCCGACATCATGATTGTAAAAACGCATAACTGTGCCGTTGACATGTTTTCTTCATTATGATGAACTTGTTTTTGCTCTCTAGAAAGTGCTTGGAAGTAATCATCTGGCTGTTTGTAAAATAATAAAAACACACATCTATAAATATAATTGGTGAAACTAAAAACTCTAACACTAAAGACATGCACTATTATGGTGCGCTGAAAAGATTAAGGCTTCACACAAAACACTGTCCTAATTCCCTGTTTGACATTTTCCAACCGCCGGACACATTGTCATATCACACAAAGCTGTGGCTGGTGGCGTCTGCATGATTTTTTTGTGCATGCAGCCCCTAGAGTTTGCAGAAAAAGATTTATGAATTCTATGATTAAACAAAAATTTTACTTTTTCAGTTGTTGTGCGCAGTGTTATGTTTGGCAGAAGCTGGGAACAATTCAATACCCACATGACAACATCCCTACTGCATAGTGTGGTGTTGACAGTGGGAAGATGGAGGGAAGAATAAAAGGGGCCACATAGCAGCCGATATCGAGGACAAAACAGGGTTCAGAGTTATTTTAGAGTTCCAACAAACGGATGCGCACATGCACGGTAACATGAGGACACATATAGGTATTTTATTTGTTTGCAGCAGGAAGAACAAGAAGATCAAGTCATCAAGTCAAGGCAAGTCTGACATTTGGACAAATTTCTCAGTTGTCACTGATGATACAACAAACAAATTGGACTTTGTTAGGTGCTACAAATGTGCAAAAGTATCAATCTACCCTTTTCTATCTGTTATTCTGAATGTTTAGCATAGCCCTAACAATTTCTAACAAATTCTACACTATCTCTACAAACTGGGACACGAAGGACGCGCACTCGGCTGCTCATTCAAGCTTTTCCTGCATTTGATGCATGGATTTTGAAACTTTGTTTTAAAGCAGTCGATTAGTGTTTAGGTCATGTTTTTGATGAATCAAAGTGTTATGTTTAAATGCAGAGGGGGAGAATGAAATTTTGCAGTGTTATCGCCGACAGGTATGCATCTATTTAGTAATACTACTCAGTAAAATAATGTATTTTCCAATAAACAATAAATCAGTGGAACCTCGAATGACAGGAATGGTTAGAAATTTAAAGGGAACGGGCAGGAGTGGGATTAAGAAAACAGTCAAGCAGGGCTCTACTTCAGGCCACCATGTGGTGGATGATTCTTTAACAAATTCACCATCCCCCCGTTTGGGAGACTGGCATAAACCAGCAATAAACAATCGGCAAGCACTAAAGTCTAAATTGGAATATCTCTTAGTGTGAACAAAACACTGCCGCTGGGTCTCTTAACAGTGTGAATCGTGCTCCTAGTTTGTGAAAAATAAAAATAGGAAAACCCTCCGTTTCCCATAGATAGAGTGCATCAAAACAAAGCTGTCACCCAGCTTCTCCCAGAGCCTCTCCACCATCCCTTCCCTCCAGTGGCTCATTTGTAGCTCCAGCATTAGGACGTCCACTGATGCCAGAGCATTGCCACTTCATTAGCTCATTCTCTCCGTGTATATGTGAGTGCATGCATGTAGGCCTCGACGGTCCTCGTTCTTCCACCCACACCTGCTCGCCCCAAAGCACCCCGGGATACTGCAGGAGCATGTTCATTTACATATTGGTATCCCAGATTCCATTAATTAAAGTCAATGGCAGCTCTCCGAGGCAGTGTCTCTTCGCGATATAGGAATCCCTGAGGGCAGATTCAATGATGGATCTATCCTTTATAGTAAAAGGGTGGAAGCCTTTAACTATAAAGGTGGTTTCTTGTATATATTTTAAGTTCCATTATGATTTTTATGTCCAGTGTATTCCCATATGTTGCATTCAGGAGGCTACATAGGCTACATAAATGAAAATTTAACCATGAAAAATCTGTATGTAATGTCAGGTACCCGTTCAAGTTTTTTGTTTTCATCACAGGACCCCAAAAATATTTTAAAACTTTCAAGATCAATGGTTTTCCATTTGGGGTCAAGTTGTGCCAAACAGACAATGTCCAAGAAAACATTTTTGGCACCGTTGAAGCAAAATTTATGAAATGAATACACACTGCCAACGTCAAATATTTTTCAAGATGATCTATTTTGACACAACTCATATCTAACTGTGCTGTCACCAGAGTCTGTCCTGTCACCTGCCATTGTGCACATGGCGAAAGATATGACACCAGGCATCAAAACCTTTGGAAACTGTATCTTGATCTGTACCACTTTCTCAATGCTAATTTACAGCTTTAATGGTTAAGGAGACAAAAATCAAGTGGACAGTTACAGGTTTGAAATTCCCCCAGTAATCAGTGTCA